AGACCAGTCTTTTCAACAAGCAGCCAGGTTCCGTTTCAGAACCCAACAGGCGCCCCGAGGTTCAAGAATTCCACAGCTGATTCCAGAGGGGATCACATGGACCCTTTGCTACTCTGCTGGCAGAAGGGCTGCTGGTATTTACAGCTCAGGGAGCAGGGAGAAGGGAGGAGTGCCATCCATCAGCAAAGGAGGGCTCATCCAAGACTTGACATTCTGTTGGAGCTCACACAGTCTCCAGAGGGAGCAAGCGGCCTCCATTTGCATAAACATGGAGACAGGAGGCAAGGTGGGAGGCGAAGCAGCCAGCAAGAGGAAGACAGAAGTAACAGACCTGCGAATCTGGGAGAGCAGCTCTCAGTGAGTGCTGCCTGGACGTCCCCCACCCCCACCCCCCAACTTGGGCTTGTGTGGGAAAGGCCCTGTTAAAGGGCAGCACGCTAGAGCAATTGCTGCCAGTTGCCATCCTCCTCTAGTGCCTACCACTTAGTAAGGGCTGGGCAGCTGTGCGCTCAGTAAACACCTGCTCTTCCTGAACCCAAGCCAGACTGCAGGTACCGTAATTATAAGACCAGGGTCGCTTGGGCAGAGCAAACCACCAGCTTCTGGGTAGCAAGTGCCCTCTAGACACACTGCCTTTCCTGACAGAGTGGGCTCTGCCCTGGGCGCCCTAACTGATTCTGAAGGCTGGCTCTATGGATAGGCGATGAGCTTTCATGGGGAAAAGGGGTCCTTTGTTTTAAAAGGCACTGGGCAGGTGGGTGCCTTGGAATGAGTGCACGCACGGAGCGTCCCAGGTTGTCAGGCTGACTGATTTTAAAGCTATCAGCTAGCCCACCAGATCTCCCTGCTACCTCCAAACTCTCCCTCTTCCTGATCATCCCCTGCATGCTCCTGGCACAGCTCGCTGGAATGCAACTGGAATGCAACGGCGCAGGAAATGCAACACCTTGACTGAGGTGCGCCTAGGCGCCCACAGCAGCCCCGGGGTTTCACCCTCAACCTCATCCCAGATGGCCCACACGGTGCCACGACTGGTGCTGAACTGGGCAGCCACTTCGTGTAATATTCAGCGGATTCTACACCTCATCAATCTCCTCCCGAGAGTTCCTGGTAAAGGTTCTGGAGATTAAATAAAACTGACATTTCTTTTGAAAATCTTGAGGTCTGCACGGCCACCGACGGACGACAAAGACGATGAGGCCGAGACCCCCTAACAATCAAACTTGTTTCAGATGAGAAGCAAGACGAAACCCACGGACGGATTGTGGTGTGTGCACAGGGATGTGTGTGCCGTCTCAGCCGTCACTGCTTCCTTCCCACAACGGCATTGTTGAGGATTGGTTGACACAGACTCGGAGGAAAACAAGCCAAGGAAGCTAGGTTCAAATGGGATGTTTAATAAAGTATGGAGAGGCTCGGGCTTCAAGAAAGACAACTGACTGGCGTTTCTGATGCAGCGGTAAGGAGAATGCCACAGGTCAGTCCCTCAGGTATAATGGTTCTCAGAAGCATCTGCCAGTCATTCCTTTATCCTGCAGCTTTAAGGACATCCTCATCTGCAGAAGCCCGTTCCGCATCCTAATTGGCATACATCCGAACACAGGTGAAATGAAATGGCTCTTTGCTATTTTAGGAAATTGTGAATAAAAAGGGCCTGGGCATGTCTGAATATCAATATTCTTCCTCTCCATCCAACCTGTGGGGCTATTAAATCTCCAGCCCCCATTAGGTGATGATCCTCACAGGGTGTAACCCAAGCTCCCCTTTAATTGTCTGACTTCATCTGCCTAGATGAAATCAAAACAGCACCCGACTGAACTCATACATGTGTCCTGATGGGTGAGTTGCTAATTGTATGGCACCGGGAAATGGGGGACTGTTTTCTGTCAGGGCTCCCCAGATAGGCCCCACCCTCCACACGGGTCTCCTACTCAGGGACTCTCAGTCATTCAGGGATTTAAAAAAAAAATAACAAAAAACCTTGTCGGGAAGGGAGGACTCAAAAGAATTTGTCACTAGGATACAGTGACACCAATCCCACATTTTGTGGTTAATAAAACAAGTCCTGCATCAAGCTTGGCACAAGGCCCTGATCTGACTTATTTCAAGCCAAGCTGGAGGGCTCAGAGAAAAAAGCTGCCATTCATGAAAGCTTTGGGAAGAACAGGACCCAGCGTTCTCACTCTGGTTCCTTACAGCAAAACGTACCCAGTCCAGAGACTGTTCAGATATTCTGAGCAAGCCCATCCCATTTCCTAAAGAAACCAGTGTAAGGAGTTGTTTATTTCAACTATTGTTTCACTTCCTATATTCCAGCTCTGCTCCGCCCCCCCTCACCCCCCCAAAAAAACGGGGTGTCAGTGCATGTTTCTGTGGGGAGTGAGCAACGAGGGAATTGCAAGAAGGGCCTATAGGTTTCTGACTTAAACCTCTCAAAGCATCAAACGCTACACGTTTCCTTCCTTCCACTGCCAGGAACTCAGACTGGTCCTAGAGAAGGTTTCTGTGGCTGTGATCTTTATGAAGGGCAGACAGCCTCACCTTCCTCCCGCAGAGCAGCCTAGTGCATTTGAACCACAGACCTGGCAGTTAGCAATCCCACACTCACCTGGCAGCACCTCCATGTACTCAAATATAGATATGTATTTGAGACAGGTAGGGCTTTCCCAGGAAAGTCTACGTGTAGCCTTAATTTACGTTTTCTTGCACCAGTACATAATTAGTCATCTTCCTTCGCAAATGTCAAGTCCATCTCTTTGGAGAAGCCAAAGTTGGTAATATTACCCTTTGGTGGGGGAGGGGCAGGGGGAGATTCAAGTATATATTTTGAAACTTCTTCTCAAATCAACCCGATTTATAGAGCATGCTGAGGGAAAGCAGTTAACACGTTGCTTGATGGATGCTAAGGCACTTTGTAGATTCTAGCATACCTCCTCCCTCCTCTCAGTCCCCTCCCAGACGCGGAGTGTTTCCGAATACCTTCGGCTCCCGCCGAAACAGCTCGACTCCCACCGCCAGGGCACGGACTCGGCTCCGAACTCTGCCGAGTCCCTCCGAGCCCCACTCCCAGCTTGTGCCGAAGCGAGCCGAGGCGAGCCGAGGCGAGCCGAGCTCAGCTCAGCTCCATCGACTTTTCAGGCCTCGGCTGGGCGCTGTCCACCACTCGCAACGCCTGAAACCTTACCCAACCCCTGTGGCTGGGCTTCTACCGGGCTCTGAGTACGCCACTGCAGATTTACAGACCTCGGAAGTTTGCAAGCGTTTCCCTAGGGCGATGGGGGTGGTGTTGCTTGCATTTACCCATCTGCAAGGGCTCCAGGCAGATGCAACATGCACCTTGTTGCAAAAAGCAATTCCCCAGGCACCGCCTCTCCATCCACTTGGGTTGCACACGCTCCAGAGAAGCCCCAGGCCAAATTACCCGTGGCTCCGACGGGTGCTGCAAGCTGAGGGGACCTCTTCGAAGAAAGCTCCAGGGAGCTCCCGGGCAAAAGAAGAACATGTCAAGCAGATGGGGGAAATTGTCTCCAGTCGCTACTCCCTGCCATCATGGCGCCGCCTAGAACTGGCTTGTCATGCCTGTTACACATGCAAGATTTTTTTGTATCTTGGTTCGTCTCAAACCGCAAGCATGCTTCATCTCCCACCCATCTTCCCACGAAATGGGTTTTAATTTCCTATTGTTTCCCTGCGGGATGCAATTACTTCGGCTATCCTGTCAAGTTGAAAAATAATCATTTTTGTTTACTGCACAGCAACCCTTAATTAGGAGCCGTGTGTGCTCGAAGGTGTCACAGCAAAGCAATGTGGAATCCTCGCTAAACGATCCTAACGAACTCGCTCATCCTCAATTGACAGGCCAACGGGTGCACCCGGCCAGGAGGCCCTGAGGGCGCACGCCTCTTTCCCACCAGCCGCCCCCTCCTCAAGCGCCCCCTCCTCAAGCGAAGCTGCTCAAAGGTTCGCCTGGAGCTGTCAGGTGGAGGGGCAAGAAGCGAGCTGGAAAGTGGGAAGGAGGGGCGAGGCTTCTTATTGAGGAAGTGTGGCAGAGAAGCAACAACCCATTTTGTTTTAATTTTCAACCATCACTCAAATCCACCTCCAGTTAATTAGGAGGGGAAACTGATATCTGAGGCAAAAGGGGGCGGCGGCAAGTGGGGCCTGAAATCCGCACTGTGGGTAGATTAGACGGAGCACGGCCTGTGCGGAGTGTACATAAACACAGTGATACTGGCCACGGAGTGACTGCAAACTGCTGGTGACAGGAGAGTTAACCCTGGAGGGTGGGGGCGGCGAGGGCCTAGGGGGCCACAAGGAGGCCAGCAGTAAGCCATGCCAGCCATCCCCCTTCCACCTCTGCCAGTCACATCCGCTTGGAAGCCTACGCCCTTCCCCCAACACATGCCCCCTCCCCTAATCCTCATCCTCTTCCCCTCCAATTCAGCACCAAAGCCATGAACAGCAGACACTTGATCCTGCACCCCAGTCTAGGGCTGGGGCCCCTCCATGTTGTCGCCAAGTCCAAAATCAGTGCCCCAGGGGAAGGGCAGGAGAGAATGGGGTTATGAAAGAGAGGAGATGGGGAGCCAGGGCTGGGGGCTGGGATAGAGACGGAATAAAACTGGCAGAGACTGAAACAGAAGCAGAGAGGCACACGAAACACCTCATGTGCAGGAGTAATGATCATAACCGTGCCAATAGTGGGATATTCTGATCAATATGGCGGACACTGTCATTCATAGAACTCCAGGCGCTCCCTTCCCACCCCCACGCCCTTAAAAAAAAAACACCCTTGAGTTGGGGTGCAAGACCCAGAACAAATGTAGAATGTGGGGGAGGGGAGTCATATCTAGGTGTGTGTGCATGCGTGCGTGTGTGTCTGGGTGTACTAATTAAACATCAGGCCTAGAGAGCAATGTGTGGAATAAGCAAGGCAATAAAACGGATTTTAAAAAATTAGTCTTAATAAAAGTACAAATCCCAATGCCAAGGGGACTTACTTCATTTGCTTCACAATGGTGCTTTTTCCTGATTCTCCAGCCCCTGTTAGGACACAGACAAGGGGGAAAACTGGTGTCAGCTTCGGGAAGGGGGGGTGGGGGCGGTAAGGGCCAAGCAGGCAGGGAGGGGGTAGTG